ATTTTAAAGCTATAAATATCTAAAGCTTTTGTATATTTTTTCACTTTTTGAATATTGGAATAATATACGTATAACATCACTTCATATACGTATCACTTTTGTATCCCATTTACTAGTTTACTTCTTTCAAACAATTTCAGTTTATATTGGTCCAATATTTAATTTAGTATCGACTAAATCAAATTTATTGGTCTAATTGATTTAGTTCAATACGTATAATTAATTAATTTGGCAATTATATAAATTTTATGTACAGTATAACTAATAATCTGTGTCAGGGTTTGGTCAATTATTTGGCCAATCATTTGACCTAGATAGATAAAGTTGGTGAATGCTACGTAGTGAAACTGACTGGTGAAAATAAATATAACACGACAGGGTGAAACCTCAGTTATGAAATTGTGAAATCAGTTATGAACATCACATGAAAATGAAATCCGCTTTTATATAAAAAAAAAAACATAATAAAACGCGGATTTCACCCTGGTTTAATATGATAGCAAATGTGAAACCCGGTTGAAACTATGATGAAACTCAAAGATTAAGTTTCACCTACAACTTTAATACGTATTGAATCAATTTCGAGGGTTATTGCGTAGTTAGATGTTTTAATACTTACTAAGATTATGAGAGAGGTCTTTTTTTTTTATTAGAAAAGGCAGTTTTATTAATGTTAATTATGATCGATAAAGCTTGCACAGGATGATCTATGTACAAAAACTTACCAATAAAAATGTCGACTTGGTGTAACATAACTCGACATTAAAAAAATGTCAGTGTTTATCGAAGTACTTTATATATGTGATAGATCTTTTTATTTATATAATTCAATAACTATCCATTTATATAACATAAACACACAAGAATGGAAGTGGAACAAAGAACTTGTTATGGGTTAAGTATTTAGTAATTAACCTCTTTAGGTACTTAATAAAGTTTGAGTGTTTTTTGGATGATCTTGCACAAAGAGGTTTTAGCACAAGTACTTTTAATTGCATCAAGTTTCTTGGTTAATTTTTGAGTTGGGTGGTTTTGGTTAACCTTGCAAAGAAACTTTTAGTACTTGATAATTTCGGTAAATCTCTTGGTTAAGCAAACATAATAGTCAATTTAATAAACAATTTAAATTATCATTCCTAGAAAGAATGATTGAAAATAAAGATCTCTTCATTTGTTAATATTTCAGGTTATGAATTATTTTATTTGAAGGTTTGGAGGTTTGCTGGAAATCTTAATAACAAGAAAACAATCAAATACAGGGATGATTTTGTACGTAATAAGATTAATCGGTTAATGAATAATTCTTTCAATAATATAATTAATATAATTGCAAAAGAATTAGAGCGCGTTCAATAACTTGGTTAACTTAGTCCTGTTTTGAATGATTATAGCTCAATATGATATTATCATTAAAGCAATGATAATATGATATTATCATTAAAGCAATGATAATATGATATTGTCATTAAAGCAATGATTTGTATTTATTAAACATTTTATTGAATAAAGGTATTGATTGAACGTGTATTCATCCTTTCAGTAAATATATTTAGAGTCGATATTTATTTTATAAATGTATTTACTTAATGATAACATCTCTGGGATGTAAGACTGTAAAACTCGTTGAATAAAAAGAAATCCAAAGAAAAAGACAAGTTATACATAACAAGGTATAGTTATCAACAGTGTCTGAAATTTCAATTTTCAATTTAGTTATGGGCACTGCCTGATAACGGGTTTATCCGGCGGCTTATTATGATTTTCTGCCCAATAATTTTATTATTGGGCAGATGAAAAGTTTAAACTATTTTAAACTATTTTAAACTTTCGTTTTCTACCCAATAAATTTATTATTGGGCAGATAAATCATAGTAAGCTGCCGGATAAAAAACTTTACTTGCGGGTTATATGGATTTAGTTGCGCATATAAATGGATTTATATGCAAATTCGAACAAACATATATGCAAATTCATAATTTTAGTTGCGGGAACTTATATTATAAATCATTTACGGCCCGCAAGCTCCGCAACTCAATTTCAGACACAGATTATCAATAAATACGAGCTTTAAAAAAAAAAAATTTATAAATGTAAATATTGAAATATAAAGTTATTACGTAGTTTAACTTTGTTAAAACCTTGATTAAAATAAATCTATGCAAAAATAATAATCAATCATACGATCTTTTTTTTAAAGTTTCATTTGACCGTTGGTTCAATAAGTATAATGTATAAGTTTTGAGACCTTTTTTTGAACTGTTTGTAGATAATGTTTGTAGATAGTGAGACGTTACATTTCCAAAAAGAGCTTTAAAACATATAAATAGTCAACGAAGATAGCAACACCGCATGACGATAAAAATAGTGAAATTTGCAAAAAATGGAAAAATTAATAAGTAAACAAATAATGTTTCACTGACCGCCAAGTTTTGATTCAATATTCTAAATAGAAACAAGTTACAGCATTACAACAATAACGGTCATGAATGTAGGAACACGTGAGGCAAAAACGCTATTTGGTACGTACATACATAAGTAGATATGTATAGAATGTAAGACAAAAACGCTATCTGGTACGTATGTACATATTGTAAGTAAGTATATATAATATATAGAATGTAAGGCAAAATCGCGCGATTTGGACATAAGTATGCAAGAATGTAAGGCAAAATTGCTATTTGGTATGTATGTATACGTATATACATATCGTACGTATATAGAATGTAAGGCAAAATCACTATTTGGATATAGGTATGTAAGAATGTAAGGCAAAATTGCTATTTGATATGCAAGTATGTAAGTACGTAGGTACGTACTTACCTATCTGTTTACATTCAAAAATTTAAAGGTAGCACGATTAAAAGATTCTTCCATTTCAAATGAAAAATGTTTAAATAGACGTTTTTTTGAATTTAATTTAGTAGCATGTATTTTTGACACTAATTAATGTATTTTTGAGCGTACGTACATAATGAAATAGCAAAAATGAAAAACTTTCATGCAGCTCGAAGTAACAATATATAATTACTCAAAGTAACACAATATGTAAACTAAAATTAGGTTTTTCATCGATGTTTTTCCCATTGTTCCTTAAATTTTGTGTCAAATATACACAAAACTAATCAAGGTTAGGTTTCATATATAGCATGTCAATATTAATTATAAAGATACGAGATATTTACGTACGTACATACGTAATACTTATATCAACAACATACTAAATTTGCCAAACGCATTAATTCTAATTTCGTATATTAAAGTTATTGTAGAATGAGCACAAGAAGATTGTTTCCTTCTTTAAATCATACGTACATACGTACGCACGTACGAAATATCATTATGGTGATATGCACTACATTGAGCATCCCACAAACAACGCCATAATGATAAAGTCTCCGCATTATCCAATTACTAAATAGTGCCAAGCGCAAATGCTAAGGGAGGGAAAACACAATAAACTGATAATTTAATAAACACAAGTCTGATTATGTTTGGTTAGTATAGTTAACATGGTTAGTATGGTTGGGTGTGAATAAATTTGTACAAATTCTATAGCTGATAGGTGGTATTATTTGCTACGTACGTAAGAAACTACGTACGTAATAAAACTTTAAAATATCAGATATACGTTGCGAAAATATATTTTGTTAATATATAATGATAAAATAAAGAATTCTTTCTACATACGTACGTACAATGCATATATTTTTTTTTTACACTGTACCATATGATAACAATCCATAATGTCAAATCTCTCACGGCTTTGTTTACCTTGTTTGAAGCTTTAGGAAATTGATAAAGTTCACATAATTTTAGAATTTGGAATTTTTAGTCAATGGAAAACACTTGTAACCAGATGCAAAGTTCCAAAGATTCCAAAAATAATTTTCATTAGTACATAAAAGTTAAAAGATGCCTATATTTTTATGAACGTACAAAGATTCAAGAGATACCCCTTACCAGTGTACAGTTGCCTAATATAATCTGTAATCTGTATGTATAACCTGTATGTATAGATGTATTTAAACTGGAAAATATTTATTAATAACTGTTTAATTTATTAATAAAAACATTATGCTTTGTTTTTTTTTCTCAATATTAACATCGTACCACCTTAAAATATACAGCATTCATTTAAAATATCCTGGTTTAGACTTTGTTAATTAACACGAGGAAAAATACGTATTACTGTATTAAATAATGGATACAAATTTTTGGCGTTGAGTTATTTTTTTATACACGTCATAAAAATAAATTGTGTAATGTCAACTAAATTTGTCATTCCTAAACAAGGGGGGGATATTACTATATACCTTTTTAATGCATACTAATCAGCATCAATGTGTTAGGATCGATTTGAGGTAAAATTTATTACGTATAAATAAATTTATTATCGTTATTATCATTATTATCGTTATAGATAATATAGGTAAAATTCCCTTCTCGACAATTTTCTCTCTTCCATTTTTTTCTGATATCTTCTTTCATTCATTTAACTCCGACTCCGATGTAAACGCCTGTTTTCCGCTTTTTTTTTCGTGCATAAAAGTAAATTTATAACAATAATCCCTTTTACATTTTCTTCTACTTTGTTAATCAGTAATGCATATATTTAATAGGATCGACGAGGACCTTGCAGTAATGTTTTCTTTTATTAATTGGATTGATTATCTTATTTAATCTATAATAGTAAAAAAAACTATGAATTTATATTGGAATTTACGTGTAAGTATACGGTGTACGTATACGTAAATATGTAATATATGTAATAATCGTAACATTTCACTAACGTGTTAGTAAATTGGATCCTCTATAAAAACCTGTCATTTCCTACTTCCTTGGTTTCTTTTCATACGGTAAAATTCTTTAATTAGTGATTAGTAACTAATAATCATTAAGTTGGTTCTTTTACTGTATTTTTACGATTTTTATTCACGAAATTAACTGAATCTTACTGTACCAATTTTTTGTAAATAATATTCTGTTCTTTAAAAAAAAAAATGAATTCTCGATTCGCGTTTCTCTTAATCGTTTTGGCATTGGCTTTTACTTTTTCAAATGCCCAACAAAATGTCACCGATTTATTTTTCTTAGCCGAAGCGGATAATAATGTTTGCAAGGACAATGCAGACAGATTTACACCCACAGATGGTTTACAAAAAGCGGGCGGTTCATGCTCTGATACTGTTCAGGGTGAAATTCCAGACTCCGACCATATGGTTTCTTCATTCATAATTGAACCTCCAAATGCTTGCACTTTACCTGCAAACAAAAATTTCACCGTAAAGATTTTTACCAGAGGTCTTATAACTGGATTCTTTGATAATCCTGCAAATCAATATTACAAGTTTCCTCAAGTTGTTGATAAACAAACTGGGTTTATCTTTGGCCATTCTCACGTCACCATTCAACAATTGAAATCTTTTGACGATGCTCCAGATCCAAAATTATTTGCTTTCTTTAAAGGTCTGAACGACCCTTCTGTAAACAATATCTTTACTCAAGTAATTGGTACTCAAAATGTTAGTGGATTACCGGCTGGTGATTATAGAATCTGTACTATGGTTTCTTCATTTGCCCATCAACCTACTCTTATGCCTGTTGCTCAACGTGGTGCTCAAGATGATTGTATTAGGATAAAACTTGTGGATGATCCTAAAAAAAGACGCAATGTTTTAAATAAAAAGCGTAATGCTTAAATGTTTTTATTGAAATACCTTTTTTAAAAATTCGTCTTTAGAAGTTTAATAATAATATTATCTTTTTTGTTTTAATTAGCTTAATTGTTATTGTATTACAATTTTTAATTTTTGTCATTTATCCCAAGACAATTTGTATTTATTTTAGATCCTTTATATCATTTGGCCCAATTTTTACATAATAATTTTGAACTTTTTTCTCGTATAGTTCTATATAAAATTTGTTATATGTACTTTATCTTCTTGAGTAATAAATAAAAAATAATCAAAAAAATATATATAATTTATATTTCCTTTCGAAAAGTATGTTAAAGTATATCAAATTATATGAAAATATTTAGCGAAGATACATATGCCTAATGCTAACTATTTTCACAATTTATCCATGTTATATTATTTAAAATCAGGATCAAAAGTTAATAATTTTTAAAATGTTAATTATTATAAGTACGTAGAGATTTGCAATAATTGTAATTTAACAATAAATTCAGGTTCATTAATAAATTTGACCAACCTTATAATACGTAATAATTTCAAATAACCATGAGAGGTTACCAGTGTGTATGAGTTAGGGTGAAATCCGAGTTTTGCTATGTTTTTTATTATACAAAAGCGGATTTCAACCTTCATGTGATCTACATAGTGAATTTTACTAGCTGGTGACTCCTGTCGTATTATAATATCTTATCATATCGTTATAAATAATTTTACATACCCGAAATTCAGTTCACTACGTAACCAATTTTTTATTTTAAATATATACATTTTATTTATTTATTTTTTCTTATATATTTATAAATTATCCCTTATACCATCAATTTAACTACATATTTATTATTTATTAGACTACAATCCAATATAATTTGATGGCTTAATCACATATCAATCATGAAAATTTCAGGAAATGTGCTTGCAAGACAGTGTAATATATAAGGTAAATATACCATTAACTGTTGATAAAAAGTTATCCTTAATGTGCCAAAATTTAAAAGTTAGTACGTAAGTAAAGCTCGATTTATTTAGTAAAAAAATTTTATTTCCTTGTAACATGTTCAATTCGTCATAAGTCATAATACCTACATTTACCTTATAATTTATTATTTATTATTTATATACATAATTTATTACTTATTATTTATATACATAATTTATAATTTATTATTTATTTATTTATTTTCTTATTTATATATATGTAAATTATAAATATTATTTATTTATTTATTTTTTCCTTTTTTACAAATTTATAAAAAAAAATTATTAAATACATACATAAATGCAAAATATATCATAAATCGAATTGTTTATTTTTTTTCAAATTAATCATAATAATTGAACAAAGTCACTTTCAATTTTGATTCGTCAAAATTTAAATATGGGGTATTTGCATAGAAAGGATAAAAACGCCTCCATCTGAAGTAGCGATATCTGAGATTAGATGCTATTCTAGATGCAATATATATATATATATATATATACTTATTGTGTTTAAACTTTAGTGTATGTATCAATATCATGTATAACTCTTAATAGTAATGAATAATAACCCCTTTATTGATAATTACATAGATTAAAAAAATTAGTTTAGCATTTTTTCTTCGTAAAAATTCATTTGTTTTTGATTAAAATAATTAATCATTAAATAATTTTGAAATGTTTGTTTGCCAAAGAAGGTTATGATTTTAGAAATTCAATTACTACTTGTGCCAATAAAAATGTAAAGGGGTAATTCTTATTTTTAGAGATTATTACAATGAATCATCAATAATAATCAGTAATATACAATAATATTCAGTAATATTCAATAATACTCAATAATATTCAATAATACTCAATAATATTCAACAATATTCGTATTCCCTTTTAGCATATAAACAATCGGAATTCACTCATGTTAGTCCGAAGCAACAAATATAAACTACATAGACTTTTAATAATTAAGACAATGATTACATGCGTTATGCGAAAATATATATGTATGCTCATATGCTCATATAGTTTACATATAGTTTAAACCATACCCAATACAGTTTATACGTGTCTGTAAAACATTCATTCAACAATCAAAAGTGTACGTATCATTGAGAATTTCTATTGTTTTATTATTGTTATGCGATTTCAATGGAATTTTTTGACAACGCCATATGTGTAATCATATCGTAATTTTGTTTTTTTTTGTTTTTCGAAAACAGAAAGATTGCCATCGGTATGTAAAGCGGGGTAAATTTCTGATTGGTTTAGGGTTACTTTTTTGATGCTTTTAAGGCTACTCTCTTATGTAAATATCAATAATACAATTTATGCTGTATGTAGCCCCTATAAAATAAGGGATGAAGATTTTGAAATAGTGTTTTTATTGGACTATCGCTATCATTAAAATTTGCTGAATCTGCCGAATCTGCATAGTATTCAAAAAAACCAAATACATACGCACGTACGTGCGTGCGTATGTATAGTTGCTTATAAATTATTAAATATATGATCTAGTTTGCTTATAATTTATTAAATTTAGATAATCAAAATAATTCAATTGGCAAGCAAGTTTATTCATAGCAAAGTTTTACTTTTATTTACTATATTCTAATAGTAATTCTATGCTATTCTGCCATCTAGTCCACACCATTAATGAAAACCATTTTATATGTTTATTAATTAACCCAAATCATGATTATTTATGGGTTTATAACGTTAAAACCGTATTTTTGTGTATATTTTTAGATCAATTGTTCGAACTATAGTTATTTGTTAAAGCCAAAGTTGATAAATCATTTAGTTTATGTAATTAACTGTATTGTAATCTGTTAGTTTGAACAGTTAACTGTTCAATCTGTTCGAAATATGCGAATTACAGGTCAACTAAAATAATAAGTATTATCGTTATAGAAATACTATAAATAATTAACACCCAAATTTGATATTATTATAATGATATGGTCGGGATAGTTCGATCGAATAAATGGCAATCTTTTGATTATTTCGTCGGTATCCTCGAATCGTTTTCTAGTTTCACTAAAAAGAACTGAACCATACCATTCAGAAACTTTATTCAAGATTTCACCAGCATCGGGTCATTTCATCGCGTGGCCAATTTGATGTAACAATCTGGTGTTCCAGGTGCGAATTTGGGACGAAATCCATTGCAAATTTTTATCGTGAGACCTTCATCAAACTCATGACCATCAAAAGGTCATTGCCCGGTTGACATCTCTGTCATGATGACTCCAAATCCATAGATATCCACTGTTTGTGTGAAATTTTGCCTGCCTGATAAAACCTCCGGTGCGACATATGGCATGACGCCGTAAACATCTCCTTCCGAATCATTTTCATCTGTCTTTTTAGATAATCCTAGATCAGATATGTAAGACTTTATATATTCATTAAATAGGCTCGATTACCATTGTGTTGTAAAATATTGCCACTATGAAAATCTGCATGAATGTATCCTGCATTATGTATTCTTTCTAAATTTGATGAAATATTTACAAGTAGACTTAATTTAATTTTCCATGTAAGATCTTTAAAATTCGGTTTTAAAAAATGTAAAGGCTTCCATTATCGGTATATTGAAGTATTATCATATATTCATTTTTTTTCTGCATTTTGAGTCAAACCATATATACGAAGAAAATTTTCGGATAATCCACATTGCATATGAATTTCAAACTTGTAAAATTTCGTGAAAAATAATCAATCTATACTTAAATAAATCATACGACAATATAGATTTACCTCTTTTAAAAAATCGTGATTTCCTTTGGAACGAGTCAAGGTTTTGAGTGCAACAATAGCATATAGTGAACGAGATCTCTATCCATCAGAAAAGAAACATCATATACCATCCCACTTTGCGGAAAATACCGATCCAAATCCTCCCTCGCCAACCTTCTCGATTTCATAGAACTTATCAAATGGAATCCATTCAATTATCCTTTCATATTCTTTGGCTATAAGTTGGAATTTTTTCACACAATTATCGATATTTTTATTTCCACTTGTCCATTCTCATGTTGTGATCCGGATCACACGTCTGACACCATGCCATACTCGTATTTTATTCATTACACAATTTGTACATTTATCATATTCACGATAACTATTAAGACGAGATGGAAAATATTAGATTGGTCTTTCTTAATCCATTTATCAGATTTACCTTGATCCTTTTAATACCAATTCCATGGTGATAACAGATAGAAGTTTTCCAAATACCCATTTAATCACCTAATTCAGCAGATTTTAGGTAATATTTGAATACTAATCGATTGTTTCGTTTGACCCCAATCCCAAGGTAATAACAATAACCGACCTGGTATGTGGCGCGAGAGTGATTCATCTTTGCGGATTTATGATAATATTTGAATGCTTTCTTCTCATCCTTTTCGATATCGAAACTAAACTCATAACAATAGCCAAGCCAATAGATGCTTTCCGCATCACTCATTTTCAGGGCCTTTTCACATTCCATGAAAATAATCTTGTCATCATCTTTTTCACCAGACATTTTTTTGAGTAAAAAAAAACACAAACAAAAAATTTGTTACTTAATTATTTTTTTTATACATTATGTACTGTATATTTAATACACAATATAAATTGTACATCTGTTACAGAGTAAAAACTATACGTACGAACTATACCAACCGGGATTTACTTATTTGCGCCGGTGATACAAACCCAAAAAAAAGGGAAAAAAACAATTACAATAGATTTGTTTATTTTCACAAATAACGCGTGAGAATCACGACATTTAGGCACCCACCCAGTCAAAATTTCATAACTTTTTATAAATTTGCATCTATAATAGAAAGTTTCTTTTATGTTATTTCTTCCAATATTTTCTTATAGGTTTTTAATTCAATTCTTTGAAGAGAATTAGTGAATTAAATTGAATTTACTATTAACAATATTCCTGATTCTTTTGACTAATATATGACTAGATTTAACCTCTAATCTTTAAGAATTTTATTAAGTTTATATAATAAATTAAAAAAAGTTCATTTATTTATTAAAAAAGATAAATAAATATAAACATAAATATTTAAATTTACTAACTTTTAAATTGTAAACGGCCAAATTCGCTTGTTTTACTTTTTTTTAAAGTTTATATTAAGATGTTTTTTTTTAATATTATTTGAAAAATATACAGTAATTATATTTGAAAAAATAAATTTGTTGATAATATTTGAAAAAATAAGTTTTTTTGTTGATAATATTTAAAAAATAATGTCTTTTTTTTGATAATATTAGAAAAAATAAGTTTTTTTGTTAATAATATTTAAAAAAATAATGTCTTTTTTTTGATAATATTTGAAAAAAAAGTTTGAAAACTAAGAATTATATAATTGTATTATTTACTTTGAAAATTATTAACCCATTTTCGTATCCACTCTTTCGCTATTTCCACAACTTTTGTCTTTTCACTACCTGACATCTTTTCTAACCACCTTTCAGCCTTTTCTTTACACAATTCACTTTCCGCTTTATACTTGGAACATATAATAATTTCCAAATATCCTATTGCTATTGATGTTGTCCAAATTGTCTCATCTATATTATTTTTAATACAATATTCTTTTAAGTTATTATTTTCGGTTTCATCTTTTTTGAAATATGCATAAAACTCTTCAGATGGCAAGAACTTTCCATCAAATGATTGAAATCTTAAAAAATTGTAAAGAGTTTCTAAAGTTGGATTTGTCGGATTATTTTTTTGTTGAGGAATGTCAGTGGAGTTTGAGGTAAATACTGATCCATATTGAGGCATCTGTTTGTAAGCAAATAGTGTTTGATTCTGTGTACTTGAATTCAAAATATTGGTATTGACCTCTTGAGGTTGTATATTAGTTATGGATTCAAATTCACTAAGTTGTGTTTGAGAGTTATTAGAGAATAAACTTTTATTATGCCCAAATTCACCAAACTGTGATTGACCAAATCCATTAGGTTGTATTTGAGAGTTATTAGAAGATAAACTTTTATGCCCAAATTCACCAAACTGTGGTTGACCAAATCCACTCGGTTGTATTTGAGAGTTATTAGAGGATAAACTTTTATGCCCAAATTCACCAAACTGTGGTTGGCCAAATCCACTAGATTGTATTTGAGAGTTATTAGAGGATAAACTTTTATGCCCAAATTCACCAAACTGTGGTTGACCAAATCCACCAAATAATGATTGACCGTCTGTTTTAGCTTTAGCTCCAAATCCACTATTATTTGATGTAATTGATCCAAATAATGGTTGACTAGTTGGTTGAATTGTTGATCCAAATCCACCAGAATTAGCTGTTTGAGTTGTTGATCCAAATCCACCAGAATTAGCTGTTTGAGTTGTTGATCCAAACCCACCAGAATTAGCTGTTTGAGTTGTTGATCCAAATCCACCAGAATTATATGTTTGAGTTGTTGATCCAAATCCCCCAGAATTATATGTTTGAGTTGTTGATCCAAATCCACCAGAATTAACTGCTTGAGTTGTTGATCCAAATCCACCAAACGTCTTGCATCCAAATGCACTATTATTCGACCCAATTGATTCAAATACCGATCGGGCTGTTTGAGCTGCTGGTCCAAATGCACTATACCCATTATTATTCGGCGTATTTGTTCCAAATAGTGGCTGACTGGCTGTTAGAGCCACTGATCCAAATTCATTATTATTCGACGTATTTGATCCAAATAGCGATTGACTGGCTGTTTGAGTTGCTTGTGCAAATCCACTATACCGATTATTATTCAATATATTTGTCCCAAATAGCGGTTGACTGGCTGTCTGAGCCACTGGTCCAAATTCATTATTATTCGACGTATTTGATCCAAATAGTGATTGACTGGCTTTTTGAGTTGTTGGTCCAAATCCAAATGCAAATCCACTATTATTCGATGCATTTGATGAATTTAACGTATTGACGGTTTGAGATTGTGCATGAGTTGCAACTGCGAATCCACCAAATTGAGATAGATTCGGTTGATTTAATCCGATATTCTGACAATTTTTCTGGCTAAAGTTACTTCCTAATCCAAATTTAGGATAATTTGGTTGGATACTTCCGAATCCACAATTTGATGAGATATAGTTTGGCACCATCATTTGTAATGGCTTATAATCTTGTTCTTTAGTCATATCTACATCTCTTTCGTCAATCGCTATAAAACTATATAATATTAAGGTTATTAATGTTAAAAAAATAAATTATAATATAAAGTTTATTAAAATTCAAAAGCCTTACCTTGTATAACGGGATGCCAAGCTATATGTTTTACCTAAAGAAATGATCTGATTACGAACAACGGAATTAGGAACTTGTTTTCCTCGATATTTCTGATGTTTATGAAGAAATGAAGTTCCATCTTCAAGATTTTGTATAAGTTTACGTGCTGCAAGTGTATGCATCTTAGTTCCTTGCAATGTGACGGGATCAACTGGAATCTCCAACCTCATTGGACCATCTTGAGACATCGCAGAAAGTGTAATACTCTTTCTAGGCTCAACCCCCTTTGCAAGTATGCAATAAACTATTAAACGGACTCCTTGATATATTGGCGGAATATCATACGGAGCTTGTCGAAATTGTAATCTTGAAAGAAAATCATCTGTTGGTGGTAGTGGGGGAAGAGATTCAACACCTTCATTAAAAAAGCTGATAATTGGTTTCTCTGAATTATTTTTTGAAAGTTCATCGTCCTCGAATTCTATGACATCATTTTTTGTCCATTCGACTTTGTAATCTTTAATTGGAGGTCTGAGTGAATTTTTCAAAAATCCAATAATCTTTTTTTCAAATCCATCTTTATTACAGTCAGTTACGAATTGTGCGTATCCTTTCCCAGCACGTGCAACACTTTCTACCAAATTATGGGATACTTGACTTCCAATCCCCAAGGAGAATAAGCGAAGGTCATCACTTTCATCTACCTTTGATCGAACCAATTCGGCAATTTGATCTACATTCCAAACACTACCATCTGTGAGAAGAAATACAGAAGTTGGCATATCATTTCTCTTATTCTCAAAAACCCATTTCAGACATTGATAAATTTCCGTTCCATAATAATTCGCAGCCATACTTTGAGCAAGTGAAAGAGCTGCTGAAATCGCAGATTGAGAATTAGGTTGACTTTTCGGAAAAAGTGAGTCGTAACTACTACCAAATGATACAACATTGAAAAATGAATCTTCTGGGAGTGATCGTAGAAATAATTCAAGTGCTTGAGCAGCTTTTTTGATAGGTGCTCCTACCATAGAGCCAGACCTATAGATAATAATAAAATATACAGTATATTAATTTAAGTTTAATTTTTAAAAAAAAGTAATAATACGCTTGATAGCTTACCTATCAATAACAAATATCAATTCGGTTAAAGTGGGATTGATAGCAAATTTTGGAACCAAGGTTAACATAACGCAATTCGTTTCGGTCACTGGATCATATTCAATGAATGCTCTAAAATAAAGTTCAGATACAAGGATTAATAACATTTCACGAAAAAAGTTTAACATATCAATACGTATGAATAACATTAAATTACCTTGGTTGATCAAGACCATGACTTTCAACGACCAATATGAAATCTTTTTCCAGATAAGTCGTCTGCTCACTCAAAGTAACTCTAGAAATTTTTGAGTTCCCATTAACATTTAATTCAGTCGATATATAATGGGATGGTGATTCAATACTTGTAATGTAGGATGTCATTCGACACGTAACAGAAATCGATAAATTACTAGTTGGATTAACAGTGTTGACAAGAGGTAAATTGCTTGCAAAAGAAGGAAATTCTGATGGATCATATCTTCCGTATCTCGAGGCAATTGAAGTGGGAAGTACAAAACGAATTTTTTCTGTTTCTGCATCATGTTTAAGTTCAGTCTGAATGTATTAAAAAGATTATATATGAGCTTTGATAAATTTTATATAAGTTACAGATTTTCTTGTTATTTACTTACAACATAGGTAATATTTATGACTACAGTCTGTTTTGGAAGAATATTCCCGACCATACATTCGAATACATCTGGAAGTTGTCCATTCAATAGAAAAGCACCATGCCCTCCCTATGCAAAGAAAGTTTATTAATAAAATGCAAAAGAATACCAAAGCTTAAGTATAAAATAAATTACCTGAATAGCGGTATTGTATTCTTTTACTGCTTCTTGTGTTTCTTTAACAATACCTTTGACCTTTTTTTTACCATCGATTTCAGCTTCAAAGGCGCATATAGCCGCAGCTTCATGAGTTGGAAATTTATAGATCGCCTCAATCATATCGTTTTCAACATTTGTGTAAGTTTGAGAAATAATGACTGTAAATTAAATTAAAAAGGCATTATTATTGATGCATTAGAAATAATGCGTAAATAATTCTTGCGAAATTTACCTTCAGCAATCATATCCACCACTTTAGGATAAATATAAATGGTATAGTGATAAAATTAGCTAACGAATCAATAATTTGTCTTTTCAAAAAATCTAACAGACTAACTAGAAAATTAATTACAAACCATTGGCTTCAACATTAATATTTTTCAAAGGAATAGGCTTGTAGCCATTAGAAATACTGATTAGTCCAGAGTAGTTTTGCATCTTTTTTTGTTTTTATTTTTTTGTTTTTTAACAATCTCGACGGATATAAAAGATACAAGATCAATATCGCGGATTAATTATAGATAAATAATTTAATTAGAGATAAATAATTAACTGACTATTCATAAACTAATAATAATCAGATTAATCAATCCAACGATAATAAGATCTTTTTAGAAAAATATCAAAATTTATTTTTCGTTTCAACCTTTTATTTTTCGCGTTTATATACAAAATTTTCCTACTGCGGTCCGCAGTATAATAGTGATACATCACGGAATTTTGAATCCGTAACTTTATTAAGAATGATTGGTCGTTTAGATAATTCCGAGCTTAAGTAATCGTATGACTTATTTAGCATAACGATAACAGATAAGCTTCAAAAATGACCTGTTCATGGATAAAAATTATTATTACATATGATTTATTGACTTTTTATTGACTAACGCTAATTGCTAATTCATTAATATTTAATGTTATTATAAGGCCTATTTAAATTCAAAAAATATAACAATTTTGCAAGTTATACGTATAGACTACGTACTAGCATTGCAAATTAGATACGTACGGTATGTGCTCGATTATTAGGCTTTGTTAAGGTCCCGCAGTAATTTGTCAGCCAACTTTGAGCAAGATTTGTAAAAAGTTAATAAAATGAGACCTCCATAAGTGCACCCTCTATAAGTCACGTCCTCTCTGAATGCACACTTAAATTAAGGCCCAAATACATGACCTCCATAAATGTACTTTTTCTTATTGTTCTCTAAGTGCACGTCGTTGAAGTTCGGTCCCGAGAGTATGCACTTATGGAGGCTTACTGTATTTTTAACTAGTATTTGTTCAATAAGTAAAGTTATAGAAAAGTTATTTTTCTATAACAGTCTGTAATAAAGTTTATTTGTTTTTGTACTGGTTTCTGAGTAGTCTAGATGGGACCAATCAACAAAATTTTTTCCACACCGTTCGGTCCCTAATCGGTTCCTTCTAAATTACTCAGAAACTAATACAAAAACCGATAAACTTTTATTAGAGACTGTTAAATAGTTTTTCTATAACATTACTTATAGAACAAATACTAGTTAAAAATATCAATTTTCTACAAATCTTGCTCAAAGTCTAGCCTTAGCGATAGAGCACTGCGCAAAAACCGACGATCACCATAACAATTTTGATGATCAGGTGTAACATGATAATCAAAAGATCTAAATGGAGTAACTAACGCGTTTTTATTTTATTGCTAGTTTACTTCTTTCTTTTTTGATATACTGTTTTGAGGTTTACTTGTTTTAGACAAAAAACTGGTTATGCCTCTTTCTTAACTTGAGCAGTCAAAATTTTTTGTTAATGAACAAACAAAGCTTTATAAAAAAACAATTTACTCTTATATAGAAGATGCAAAAGAAACAGATTAGATATAAATGTGAAATAATTTTTAGTGCATGTTTAATAATTAGAATAAGGTTCTAATAAAAATTTATGCTTTAGTATTAAAAACTATAGGTTATATTATCATTTCTAATATATTATATATTTTTTTTCTTCTCTTAAGCAGTTATGTTTGTGTTTTATTAAGATTTTGAAATTACATTTGCAATTATATAAATATCTTTAACAAATAAGTTTTGCATTACTTGATCACTCTAATGGTATTTAAGTGCAACCTGTTGCATTACTTCAAGCAAAAGTAAACTGCTTGTCTGATTACTTAAAGTCTATAATAAAAAGGTTTTTATTTTTTTATTTATTTTTTTTTTTAGTATTAAGATGATCTCTTTAATCTTTTAATTTTTATTAATCACTTATTGGTATTGTGGTTCAATGAACTACTACAGGAGAGTATACAATTGGCTATATGTATAACTTTTTTATATTATCTATTTAAGGAGTTTGTCTGAAGGTTCCTTACCAATTGTTATATCTAATACCTCTGCTTGGGTGTTTTACTTTAAACCTTCTGAATCTGTAATCTATATTAATATCACTGGGTTATCCAAGATGCTCAGATCATTATCTCAACCTTAGGATTAATTTATCCTTGAGGTAAACCTCACAGAGTTTTTGGTACCTATTTTTATAGTTGATCTAGATATCGTTATGGTTGAACCAACATTTGCAGTCAGAGTTAACTATTAAACTACTATATTCTTGTAGAGTTTTTACAAACCCTAGCATCTACTTCACAGCATATCCAAAATACTTTAGTATATCTTTGCTGATTTATCAAACTCCCAATTCAGATAGCCTAATAGGATTTATAACTGGTCTATTGGTATATTAGGTCAGCCTGATATCCTTTTCCTTCAGCTCGATCCAGTAACCTAGTTGGTGGTACCTCTCACCTAGAGGTTTTTTCCCATCCAGTTACTTCAGTCTTGGTATCTATTTTATAAGCCTAGTCTTTATAGTAAAGTCATCAAAGATCTGGCTACCTCTTTATTCAGGTCTTCTCAAATGGACTTCTTATTACCTAATTTTAACAGATTTACATAGTCATAAGAACTTATCTAGTGTTTGCATCATCTAATTACCAGTTTGCATTCCTTTATGTAACCACAACCTTGTCTCAAAGAACAATATCATGTAATTTGTTATATGAATGTCCTAAGACCTACCAGTCATGCTGGTGTGACCACCATTACAGGTATTCTAATCCAATTATTAGTAACAGTTGCTGTAATACAAATATTACATAGATGATTATCCAAATTTTCACTGTCGATAGGATTTGAACACTCAACCTACCACTTGGAGGGTTGACAACCTGACCACTTTACTAGGTTATCACATCCTGTTTTCACTCTTTCATAACAAGTTCTAAAATTGTTTTTTATACTTCTTTTCTGAGTTGTTTTTTTTTCTTTTACTTTTTCTTTTCTTTTTTCTATTACTTGCTAATTTGATTTTTTTTTTTTTTACTTAGTGTTTTTCTCTCTTTTTCTTTTCTTCTTTTTATTTCATCTGTTATTTCTTTATTTTTCTCCTATTTGTTGATCTTCTTATATTAGATTTTTTATACTTGTTCGTAGAATATGTTCTAAGTCATCCTTACTATTATCTTCATAAACTGCTATCTTGATTTTGTACTTAGAAGTTGTCTTAATCTGTTTTGAGTTTTTTTTGAAATAAGACTTTTGATTAATATTTTTCTTATTTTAACTTTCTTTGCTTCTGTTTTTCTAAAGAACACTATATATAATATATATAGAAGAACCTGAACTTTTTTTCTTCTTTTAATCCTTTCCAGGCTGTTGTAATGATCACTTTTTAGATTTTTTTTTACAGATTCTTTGTTTTTTTACATGTTATCAAATATGTTTGTGTTTCTTTTGTTTTATTGTGACATATTTGGTACTCTGTTGTTGTATATAATTTTGGTCTTTTTTTGTTTAGTTTTTTTAGTATTAGAAGTTTATCTATTATACACTTTATAAATATTCTTCTTCTGATATTATTTTTTTTTGTTATATAATGTACTCCTTTAGATATCTTTAGTCTATTTCAAAAATATATTCAATTATAAATCATAACTTTTGTTTCTAATTCTAATTCTCTAATTGCTTTCATTTTTTTCTATTTTACTCCTAATCTTATATTCATTATCAATTTGCATAGCAGTTTTGTTGGTATATCAATATGTTTGTTTTTCTACTCTAAACAGTACTTTATCTCTTCACAACTGACTTTTTTGACCTATATGATTTCTTTACTTGTTACACTTTTTTTTGCTAGACTATTAGCTTTATTATTTCATCTATCTTTACTGTGATTCTTAACTTTAACCAACTCTATCTGAATATTCTTTATCCTAATAAGCTTTTTAATTTTTATTATTTATATTGCATTCTTTTTTTTGAGAATCTTATTTCTGCATATTTGTTCTAAACTTCTACTAATGTTTTTTATTGCTATGTTGTTATCTGTATATATTTCTATTTGTTTCTCTCTTAATATTATTAAAATTGCAACTCATATTGTTACTAACTTAGCTATTATTGATGTTCGTTATCTTTTTAAACCTAATGCTACTTTTTCTTTTGAACATTCTTGTATTTTATCTATTTGCACTTACCTTATACCTATACTACTTCTGCTTCTTGTGTTTTCTTTAGTCTTCAAGTTTGCTATTCTGTCTATGTATATTACATATTTGTTCTTGTTTCTTGTTATATTCCTTCTTAAAACTTCTATTATTTCTTAACTAATGCTATCTTTTAATTTTTATCATCTGATTATCTCTATTTCTGGCTCTTCTATTATTCTTAGTCCTTTGAGTTTCTTTTCTTTTGTTATTAGTTTGTTTGTTTTTATTATTTCTGTTATTTTATTTATTGTTATCTTGATTTTGTTACTGTCTTTTTTTATCAATACATCTGGATCATATTGATTCTGTTATTTACTTTTATCCACTATTGGCAGCTATCTTTTTGATGTTCTTTTTCTCTTATACAACTCTTATATCTGTTAATTTCAATAGCTAATTCGCTTTTTTTACTTTACATTTGTCAATGTTCTATTAGTATTTTTTTTTTTTCTTCTTGATTATCTTTCCTAATTGTCAATTGTTCTGTATGTTATGCATTATCTATTCTTTTCTTCTTTTGTCTTCTAAGATATACTTATATCTTATTTGTATTACTTGAGTATTTTGCTCGATTGTTTTAAATTGTCTTTTAACTTCTCTATTTTCTGGTCTAATAAGCATTTCTAGTTCTATCACTTTAAACCATTCTGTTTTTTTTCCTTTACTTAATAGGCCTTAGTAACTTTTTAGCTACTGCTATGTAATTAATCTCTCTTCTTTTGTATCTATCAGCTAGCTTAGATATATTAAGTCTGCTTCATTTATTTTAGTACTATTTCTTTTTTGTAATTGTATATCTATGAGTTCTCTTATTTTGATTCTATATCCAAATATTGTTTATAGATTGACTTCTGTTCTTATATTTATATTAAGTTTCCTTGCTTTTAGTAATGTTAGACAAGCTAAGTTACTTTTTTAA